TGTTATTGAAGCGAAATAAAAAGTGTTGCTTTGTTTAGGATATGATAATAGGTTTTCTTTGATTTGTCTGGTAAAATTTATCCCTTTTAGATATTTTATCACTAGTTAGCCCTTTTGAGCCTGTAGCCTTTTGTTGGTAGCCATATTTTACCCTTGACTATTTTGTTGAATCCCTAGTTTTTGCACCTTGCTTCCCTGAGCATTATAGCATAGACTTATTCCAATTATCAATTCGGTAAAAATAAAAAAAATGGATGGTTAAAGGTAATCAATGATAGCTACAAAGTGTTTAAAAGCCCTCTTTGAAAGAATGTAAAAAAAAAAAAAAAAAAAAAAAGTTACCTTGATGATGGCCCTGGTCCTTCCAAGGACATCGTGCACCTTAACGCATGTAAAATACGTAAGTTGAGGGTGGCTATTATGAAGGAAAACTACAAAAAAAAAAAAAAGGAAAAGATTGAAGCATTCTTGAGATGAGAATTACTTGTGAAATAGTTGTTGAAGAGATGGCTGAAAATAAAGAGAAGAAATTAATGGGTGATGAAGTCTAAAATTGCAAAGTGCTTAAGGAAGTGTAAGTCACTATTATATAGTTTTCCTACCCGTCCCCTAGCCTACATTACAACCCGTTAAAGTCCTATTTGATTCTATTCAAGCATGCTTAATTAGTGGAGATGTACATAATGAGCAAACATATGGTTCTTTGTGCATACATGTGAATTTTCATTGTGAGTGTGAGAGTGTTCTTTGATGCGAAGTCCTTAATTTATATTTAATATTTTAATTTGAGTGTGTGGACTATTTCTTCTTGTGAGGGCACTTGTTTCAAGATAGATTGGTGATTTTATTAACTTTCTTTGATGAGAGTAAGTGAGCAAGCTTAAAATTTGATGAGTTCAAAGTCCTTCCTTAAGGTTAGGAGGTTAGAAGTTTGTTGTTTATTTGGATGTCTTGCATGATGATTAAGAAGTTTACTTGATGTTTTGAAATTCGTACATGGTCTAATTGTTTGTATTAACCAAAGTGATGACATTGCTAGTATGAATTTTTTCTTGGGATGAGTTTTAATGTTTGCTCGAGGACGAACAAAAATTTAAGTGTAGGGTGTTGATGTGAGGCTAAAAATACATATTTTTAATCATTATTTCCTCACATTTATTATTTATATTTGTCCTTTTTGAGCATTAATTTGATGGATTATGCTAAATTTGGTATTTTATTTGTAAGTTTAAATTGGTGGAAAATTGGAGAAGTTTGAAGCTAAAACGAATTAAAGATGAAAGGTTGAAGAAGGAAATCAAGCAGACAGCTTAATTGATTAAATTTAATAAAATAATATATTTATATATAAAAGGAAATGGCGGCTGCAAATTGTGGAAATTCAATTTTACGCTTACTTCTTGTTGCTGCCACGTGGCAGCAAGTGAATGGTGCAGAATTAAGTTGAGGCGGCGGTATTACTGTTCACGCAGCGAAAAAGAAAAAGGAATCCAATTCCTTTTGGTTTTGGATTCCTAATTTAAGTTGGACTCAATTATTTTATTTAGGGTTTCCTACATCTATAAATAGTGCATAGAAATTATTATTTGGGGAGGGAAGCCAAGAACCAAGATACAAGACATAATATAAATTTTCTTCTAGCTTAGGAACTTTGGAAGAGCCGCCGTGGAGGCCAGAGAATTGTGGTTTATTCTTTCTTCTCCTTTATTATTTATTTGTATTCGTGATTAATAAAAGATAGTTTAGCTATTGTTCTTAACTTTTTATGATTAACACAAGCATATTTATTTTAATAAATTTTGATTGTGTTTTTGAGATAATGAGTAGCTAACTTTCATAACTAGGGTTGTGGGAACCATGAGCGATTAACAAAGTATGAATAGTAAATAAGCAATTCTTGACTAGTATTTTGCATGCATTGATAATTCTTTCGTTTAGAAGTCTTTTTAACGGTGGTCAACGTTAGAACTCGCCTTGTTACTACTTGCCGGACCAAGGAGGTAATTAACAAGAAAAGAATTATCAACATAGATTTAGTGTGATACTATCTAATAGGCTAGTGTCGATTGGTGCGAAGTAATAACTAAGTCAAACATCGATTATGATGTCTAATATAAGGTAAAGATAAGGGTTAGTAAATTATACACACGTAGTCGGACCAAGGTGCGGGGTGAAATTCTCTAGATGCCGGACCAAAGATTTAGAGATACCTAACTTATCACTTTGCATGTAATACACTAGAAAAGGATTACTATTATTAGAATTACTGCGTTATGAGCTTATGGGGAACACATTCCTACTTACTTTTCATAATCTGAATATAAATAAATACTTAGTTCAAAGCTATCTTTTTATTATTTTTATTTTATTTTATTTCAATTTAAATCACCCATTTTTATAACGACTATCGAGTTAATTATTTACTATTGACAATATTCTTCCATATTCTCTGTGGGATCGACCCCGACTCATAGTTGGGTAAATATATTGCATACGATCGTTTATATTTCTTTTCAAGAAGTATATTTGAACGTTATCAGTGACTTGGTTATTGTTTATGAAAGTTGCTTTTAAAGATTGAAAATTGTTTTTTTAATTAAAATGTTGTTCTATAGTCGAGGTATTGTTGGTGTGTTGATAGAAAGTTGGTTCTCCCACTAGGGTTTAGTGTGGGTGCCATTTATGGCGGATCGGGATCGTGACAATCTTGGAACAAGCACACTACTCAACGGATGAATTTTCCTCTCCTTCATGCCTCAAAACGTTTAACATCTAATAAACAAGCAATTTCAAGAGTAACTAATCATTTAATCTTTAAATAAATGCTTTGGAAATTCAAACCCACTATTTTTACCCTTATTCATGATCTATAACATTACCCAAGGGTCATTCAATCCCTAATTAATTTTAGGGAAAATGTTTGATATACCCCTCAACTTTGCCATTTAGAGTTGATATACCCCTCGTTATGAAAGGGGTATACTACTTTCATAACGAGGGGTAATCACATTATCTAAGTTAATGGAGTTTATATTCTAGTTACCCTCTCTTAAGCAATTTTAATTCTAAAAGGTCCCATATTTATAAATTTGAAGGCAAACAACCACCACAATTCATATTTTAGAACAATAAGTTCATTCTAGGAAGTGATAGTTTACAAACTAGAAGCAATTCTAGGTGATATTACACATACTCATAGGTTTTCCCCACAATTTCATGAACCTAGGGTTCTAACCCATAATTCCACCATTAATAGTAGTTCTAGTGATTCTAAGGTGTTAGAGGATTAATATACAAGGAGGTTGATGGAAAAACTTGCCACACTAAAGAATTTTCACCCTAGCCTTGGGAAAAATTGTCCATCTAGGGCTCTGGAATGAGGATTTGGAGTTTATGACTTAAGACTGGGTAAAACTGACTTACAAACTGCTCGTCCTTAGCTATAGTAACCCTATTTCACTATGGCGAACTTCGCTACGACGAATCCATCTTCACTATGGCAAAAACAACTTTTCAACACATACACCTTTTAGTAAAATGACATAACTTTCTAGTACGGACTTGATTTAACGAGTCGTCGATGTTGTTGAAAAAAAACTCGAAGAACTTTAATTGGATAAGTGTTACGCCATGTAACTATTCATATTTTAGGAGAGGTGCTCGTTTAAAGTTGACTCAAGTAAAAACTTATATTAAAACTCTATCTGTAAGAACGTTTTAAACTCACCTTTGTGTTAGGGGTTTTGTATGAACTTAGTTCATACCTAATGCAATCCCACACTAACAAACTGATCTTAATACCTATGGACAATTAAATTTCATCAGGTTCAAATGGTGTTTCAAATCTTAGTCGGAAGGTTTGAGGTATTACAATAAATAAAGTAATTTCTATCCCAACTCAAATTCATATTGAAAAAGAAAATAAAAACATAAAACAAAATCTCACACCATGACTGCAAAGATTTCAGTAACGTAGGAATGGATCATTATAATATTAGACTGCGAACTACAATTTATCTTTATAGAAATATAATTATGAGTATTGGGCATATATGCCTTATACTTGACATAAATCTCCTATGTGGGCCATCATATGGTTAGTTGTATTAGAAATAGTCATAGGACATCACCTAGGCAAATTACTAGGCGCTAAGTAATAACAAACAACTCTTAATACCATGTATGATAAGCTAATAAGGTTAATCCGTAGGTAACAATTTCATAGTGTGTTTTCAGTTACTATTTTGCTCATAAGTTATTTACTTTAATAGTTGATTCATATGAGCATACATACTTGTCTATTTGTTATTATGTCTGTGTTACATACCAGTCATTGTACTAAACGTCCCTACAATTGAGATTTGAGGGCGCTGCATTTTTATAATTGCTGGATCATGTTTATAGGACATCAAACATCCAGGTTAGGCTGTGTTGCCTATCTGAATCGATCTTTTGGTGAGGTCCATCTCAATCTGGAGCTAATGCATGTCTAGTGCCTCTTAGTTTGTGTTTAAAGGGTGCTAATTGGGTTTATCACGGTCCTACCTTAACTGGTTGTTAGTTTTACTTCTTTCAAACTCTTTAAGAGATTTCCTAGACAACATACACTTATCATGTTGTATAGTTTTTGCTCAATTAACCCTGTATTATATATATGCAATTTATGTTGATTGTTCAAGTCAACATAGTTCAGCTGCATAACTTTGTTATATATCATAAAAAACTATCTACGTAATAAATATTCATAGGGTTCTTTTTCGCCCTTTCCGGGTCGGGCCTGACATAAACCTTCAAATTAAAAAGATAAAAGAGAGTAAAAAAATAAAAAAATAAAGGGGGACTGGAAAAAATATAGTTGATGGAGAAAACCAAACAGGGCCTTATATACACGGTCAATATAAAAGTAATCTGAGCAGCTAGGTTTTCTGATAAAAAGAGAGCGAGGGAGAGAGGTAAAGAGCTTAAATTGAGGCGCTTAGCAACTTCTCCCTCTCTCTCTTTTTGGCTTGTTCAACCTCCTTCCACTCCATAATGAGCAACGCAAAGGACAACTTCAGTGTTGCCGATCTCAGTGCTGGTAAAACCCCTTATCCCTTAAACCCCTTTATGTGACTGTATATACTATTTGATATTTGGCTCTCTTTAATCAGCCCCCAGTTGTTTGTTCTTTCTTGTTTAATTTCTCTAATTAAAATCTCTTGTGTAGCTTTGAATGCGGGGGACCGAGCAGACCTTGTCAATGTACTCAAAGTGAGTCTTTTTAATATGTTTTATGTGTTAGTTGTGTTGTAAGTTAATAATGAATTTTTGGCTGACGTTGTGGTGGTTTTTATTTGAAGAATAAACTTCAGGATCTTACTGGGAAACACTCAGATGTGCTTGAAAATTTGTCGCCCATTGTCAGGAAGCGTGTTGAGGTTCTCAGGGAGATTCAGGCACGTCCAATTGCTCTTCAAAAGTTTTCTTTTATGCCACTTTACTCTATTTATCATATACATTTGTTATCTATATATGATGTCACGACCTAGAACTGAATTGGGAATTAGTTTACTTTGATGGAAAGTATTTCAGTTGCAAATTTGTTGTGTGCCAGTGTCAGAGCCTGATATTTTATACATCTAGGTTATGAACCTGCAACCTATAACAACGTTTAAACCAGACAGTTTCCCTTATATCAAGTGGATTTAACAATTTATACATTTTAAAAATATAGTTTTTCCTATTTTTGTGCATAGTGAATTTTTGATCCTTCATGCACTCTTGATTTGTGCCCCTAATTCAAAATCCTTTGTAGTTGAAGAGTTTACTGAAAGAAAAGATCTACACTTGGATTTTATAATGCTTATATACTCTGACATTTTGTGTCATGTGTGATGTGCATGATACAGCTTGGGAATTTGTTTATTTGAACAAGCATCCATGAAACATGTTTTATCAAGTCAAAACACCTGACTAGTTGTGGAGGACTTGGATTTCTTTATTGGATTATTGCTAATCTTTCATTGATTAGTTTTGTTTCTGATGTTATACCAATGTTTGTTTTTTATTTTCTCTATATAAAAGAAAAAAGTTTGTTTTTGTTCTTTGAGTTATAGACTGAAGCACAATTTTGCATTGTATTGTGAAGTGGTAATCCAAGGCTAATGTTTGCTAATACTACTGTTCAGATTAAAGTTAACTCTGTAGTCTTCTCTTAAAATAGGACTATATTACTAAGCTGACTTTCCTTGGAGTATTTAACTGCAATGCAGATAATAATGGAACACTTGGATTAGTCATAATGTGTACTTCAGCATCTCATTAGTTTACTGTGTATTATGTGCATTTGTTTTCAAGTTATGTTTAAGTTAAAACTGAAATTGGATACACTTGCTTTTCTCTGATTTTTATATTTGTGACCAGAAGTGATGAGTTCTTCCTCTTTCTTAATTGTGCAGACTCAACATGATGACTTGGAGGCAAAATTTTTTGAAGAGAGAGCTGCACTTGAAGCCAAATACCAGAAGTTCTATCAACCATTATACACAAAGGTTTGTGCCACAGGATATACATTTAACACTAGTACAACATATGCGTTGTTTCTGTGGTATGGTGATGTATAATCAATGTTGTTAAAATACACATTTGCAGAGATTTGAAATTGTGAATGGGGTTATTGAAGTTGAAGGAGCAACAACCGAGGCTGCAGTAGCAGACCAGCAAGTGGATAAAGATGCAGTGGGTATGTTAACTAACTATCACTTTTGAGTATTTTGATTCTTTGGTATGGTCAATATTAATCCAATTGGCTTTTAATAGAGAAAGGTGTCCCTGATTTTTGGCTCACGGCCATGAAAAATAACGAAGTGCTATCTGAGGAGGTAATTGTTGTTGGGTGCTTTACTGTAGTTACTACAACAGTTTCATTAATTGTCAGTCCACTCATGTGAATATGGTCTGTTTGTAAATACAGATTACCGAGCGAGACGAAGAAGCTCTCAAATTCCTCAGGGATATAAAGTGGTCCAAGATTGATGATCCAAAGGGTTTCAAGCTTGAATTCTTCTTCGAGACTAATCCTTACTTCAAACACACTTTGCTGACTAAAACCTATCACATGATTGATGAAGATGAACCTATTCTTGAGAAGGCAATAGGGTATGTCTCTACATTATTATCTGCAACCAAAGTTTTTGATTGATTTGGCATAATTACTTTCTCCCAATGGTTTCTCATGTTCTCTCCTCAATCTATAGGACTGAGATAGAATGGTATCCTGGAAAATGCTTGACACAGAAGATTCTAAAAAAGATGCCAAAGAAGGGGTCAAAGAATGCCAAGCCTATCACTAAAACAGAACAGTGTGAAAGTTTCTTCAACTTCTTTAGTCCACCTCAAGTGCCGGAGGACGAAGAGGATATTGATGAAGATGCTGTAAGTACTGCCATATCCTTTGTTTCCTATCTCTTTTGGAGTTCCAATTTATCTGTAACAACATCCTTATACTTATTGACAGGCTGAAGAACTTCAGAATTTGATGGAACAAGATTATGATGTTGGGTAAGTCTATCTAACGGCAATCTACAAAGACATATATTATGACTGAAAGAAAATGGTGCTGATGATCTTTTTTTTTGCTCCTGATTGTTTATGCAGGTCAACAATTCGAGATAAAATCATTCCACATGCAGTTTCATGGTTCACTGGGGAAGCTGCTGAGGATGATGATTATGCCGACTTGGAAGATGATGAGGATGAAGATGATGATGACGAGAATGAGGAGGATGAAGAAGATGATGAGGACGAAGAGGACGAAGAAGATACCAAGACCAAGAAGAAGGTACTTAGTTTCACTTTTCCCACTTCATTTTTTAGCAACTAAATTATCTTTTGGAGATGAAATGATTAGGAAAGCTAACACCTTTTCTCCGTTGTTTGAAATGTCACTGCAGTCGGCTGCTGCCCGCAAGGTATGACCTATGATCTCATCTTTGTTTCTTAATTTCATTCAAGATTCTGTCTGCATACCTTGATAGGGACTGAATTGTTGATATTCATTCCATCACAGAAGAGCGGAAGAGCTCCTGTAGGAGATGGTCAGTCTGGTGAGAGGCCACCAGAGTGCAAGCAACAGTAGCTTCTTATTGAAGAGTGGTTGGATATGATAGTGTCTTGAAAAGTTGGATGAGATAGTGAGAAGTTTGTGCAATTTAGATGGTTGGCTTGTTATATATGGAGTTATGCTTAGAACAATCTGTTAGAATCATTTTTCTTTCAATATCGTCTTTTATTCGCTCCCAGTCATTTTTGGTCTTTTTATTCCTTCAATTTTCGAGGGAGATAGAATGTGATGAGATTAGCGAGACCTATTTTGTGATTTGTTCTTGGATTTGGATAATTCAATTTTTTCATGAGGTTTTATTTGACGAGTCAATTGATGGTCTGTACAATTTTCTTGTTTTTGGCTGAGATGAAATTCTAATTACACTAGTTCAGAAACAACGTTAAAATTTTAAGTAGAAGCTGATATGACATTTTTACAAGTGATACAATAACGGAGGATTACTGAAGGATCCTTGTTGTCAGGCTTAGCATGCACTACCCTAAATGTGCCAATGCCTCAAATATAAAGAACTTTAGACCTATTGGGCTATGCAACACCGTGTATAAAATAATTACAAAAATCATTGTCAATAGAATCAAGCCCTTATTAGACAAAATTATTAGTCCTAATCAAGCGAGCTTCCTAAAGAATAGGAGGGCGGCGGATAAAGCAATTATTGTTTAGGAAGTTATTAGTCATTTTAAAAAGATGAAGGGTAAGAATGCCAACATGATCCTTAAAATTGATTTAGAAAAAGCATTTGATCGACTGAAGTGGTCATTCATTAGAGATACTCTTATATTTTTTTACTTTCCTGACAATAAGCTTATTTTATCTTGCATAAGCACTAGATCCATCTCAATTTTAATCAATGGTTCGAGCACCGATATTTTTAGCCGCTCACGAGAAATAAGACAAGGGGATCCTAGGTCCCCTTATATCTTTATTCTATGCATGGAAAGACTCTAGAAGCATCGATCGACAAGTATCCCGTGCTAATTGGTTTCCAATAAAAATTGGTCGAAGTGGACCAAAACTATCACACCTCTTCTTCGCAGACGACCTCACACTTTTGGCAAGAGCAAATACCAAGAATTGTCATACTATTTTGAATACTCTTGTGGACTTCAATCAATCTTCTGGACAAAACATCAATTTTGCCAAGTCCAAAGTAATCTTCAGCTCCAACGGTAAGTCAGATGTTATCTCTAATCTCTCATCAATTTTATCAATCCAACACAGTGATAACTTTGGGAAATATCTTGGCTTTCCCATCTTTCTCAAAAGACCTACTCATAGTGATTTTCAATTCATAATAGACAATTTGAACTTTAAACTTGCTGGTTGGAAGATGAAATTTTTGAATATTGTTGGTCGCACAACTCTTGCTAAAGCTTCCCTATGTAGCATACCGAATCATGTAATGCAATACATTAGCCTTCCTCGTAAAATAACCAACCAAATCAATAGGCTTCAGAGAAACTTTGTTTGGGATACTACCAACACCAAAAAGAAACTTCATCTTATGAGTTGGGATACCATTACAAAACCTAAAGACAAAGGAGGGCATGGCATGCATAAGGCAGAAGTAAAAAATAGTGCCATGCATCCTAGCCTGGCATGGAGGCTTTACAAGAATCCTAAAATTCCATGGGCTAATGTCCTTATCTCCAAATATTATACTCCTGATGCCCTAGAGCTAATTCATCATCCACCTGGAAGTGTATTCTTAATGGATGAAAAACTTGTAACAAAGCTACCTCATGGGTCATCAACAATGGTTGTTCAGTTAACTTTTGGCTTGATATTTGGATACCTTGCCATAGTAACATTAGAAGTTGTATCCAAGGTCCTCTAAATCGAGACGAGGAAAATATAAAGATCATAGACCTTTTCATCAATGGAGTTTGGGATTTTAATAGATTATCCTTCTCCTTACCCCAGTCCCTCATTTTTTCTATTCAAAATACTTGTGTCCCCAACACGAGCTCCATTGATGATAAAATCGTGTGGCGTCTAACTTCGGATGGTCCATTCACAACAAAATATGCCTACACATTTTTGGACTCCAACGAGAATAGCTCTGTTCACAACAGTAACAAAAACTACAATTGGATTTGGAAAATTAAGGCTCCAAATAAGATTAAGTTCTTCATTTGGCTCCTCCACCACAACAAATTACCTACTAACCAATATCTTAACCTTATTGGCATGAATATGTCTCCCGTTTGCACATTTTGTGAGACAACAAATGAAACCATCAACCATATTATTTTTTATTGTTGTAATGTAAAGTTATTTTGGAATACAATTATCTAGAAGAGCTCTAATCCCACTCTACTCAACAATATCATCTTTTCTTCTGATGAATGGTGCAACACCTGAAATCTAATTAAGAACAGTCCCTTTAACAACTTCTTATCATGGAAAGAACTAATTCCTTTTTGTTTATGGCATATTTGGTTAACTAGAAATGACAATCTCTTTAATAAGAAGAAGACACCCATCAATACTCATGATATCATCGTAAAAGCTACTGAATATGCTCTTTTAATTGCTAAAAAAGATGTTGCTACTACGTACTAAGCATACTATAAACCAATAGTGGGAACCTCTATTACTTGGCGATTATAAACTCAATATAGATGGTTCCTCCTTTGGTAATTTCGATGTAGGAGGTATTGGAGGAGTTATACAAAATAATAGAGGTGATTGGATACTAGACTTCATGAAGGGTATTCCAAATAGTACTAACACTCTGACATAATTATTAGCTCTTATGCAGGGACTTAAGATTGCAAAGGATAACCACTTGATGCCTTTGGAAATCTACACAGACTCAATCGAGGTAATAAATTTTATCAACAATGGCCACGAATCTTATAGCTCTATAATTTGTGAATGCAGGTTATTGATGCAACTATTGAGAGATCCGAAACTCTCGCATACCTATAGAGAGCAGAACAAGGTAGCCGACCTCTTAGCCAAGGAAGGGGCCAAGAAGCGATTATTTGAGCGCACAATGATTTTGCAAATTCCTCCGATGTTCGCAAAGGAGGCTGTTTGGGCAGATATACTAGGAACTAATTATCCAAGGGTAATTTCGACTCATAATAGTAATTTGATGGCAACCAATGCTACAATATATACAAGGAATAATACTATCCCTTTATTTTGTAATAATACTTAAGCTTACTTGCTAATAATATTATCCAGTTAACCAAAAAAAAAACTTGGTACATACCTTAAAAAGCTTTTATTAGGATACCTGATAAATTAATAAATAATATTTTTTTCCCGGTCCCGACTTGGGTAAGTGGAAAAAATCATCTATTTTGATAAGATGATAAAATAATATATTTTTAGAAGATTCTTGTATAAATATACGGTCCCGTTAATATTATAAATTAATAATTCTTTAAATTACAGAAATGTCTTAGTCAATTTTAGTTAAATATGATTTTAATGTTTATTTTTTGTAAAAATTTAAATATAGTTGAAGCTCATCTCTAACATTTCCTATTGCATCCAAATGTGTGATGTTGTCTTCTCGAAATACACCAAAAAATTGTGAAGAGTTCTATACGTGATAAGTGACTTCTTACTTCTTTCTGTGTAACTGGCCAAAAGTATTGTATCGTCTTCAATTTTATCATCAACATTATTTTTTCTGATGATCTCTACAATTTCTTCTAAGTTTTGGACCTCTGAACGTGTATCATTTTCATCCGGGTATCCTAATAGGGTATTGACATCCATTTTATTGCGGTAAACTAAGATATTTATCATGACATAAAATTTATGAATGTCGTTTTCACAATAGGGTTCATTTAAAATTCTTGAGGCTTCATCCCCCGAATGATGTAATCAAAATTAACCTTCATTGAATCTCAAAAATACTATTTTAAATTGATAAATATTAATTTATTAATTAAATAATACATCTACAAAATAAAAATATTTCATGATTTCAACAATATTAATTTAGAGAGGTTTTACTGTATATTAATAAATTAATCTTATTATATAATTATTTAATACTATGAGCAGAGAAAGCGAGATAAAATAAAGACGGGGTCAACTATTATCAAACTAGTATTCTCTCCGTCTTAAAATAAGCATGTTATAGCAAAATAAAACTATCCCAAAACAATTATTGCTAAAAAAAATGTTTCCAAAATGTTTCCAATTATACTCTTATATTAAAGAACTATTTTTCATAGTAATTGACATCTTGTTTTTATTGTTTTTCTTTAATGATTGTAAAGAAAGCTAAAATGACATTTATTTTGAGAGGGAAGAAGTACCATATTAGAAAAAATAGTAATCATAAGAAATTAGTTGTTATTTGATTGATATATATTTTTTTTTATCAAAAGATTGTGAGAAAGCATGGTGAATTTATAAAGAAGGGAACTCAAGCAAGTCAACAAATACAACTAGTTTTTGTCAGAAGTGTGAAAAACCAGGGCATTTTGTTAGAGACTTTCCTATGCACACATTATAGTACAAAGACTACATCAAAATTGGAGGTGAAAAAGACAAGCGAAGGGACCAGGTCCTAGATAAGTAAAAAAGAAGAGCAGTTGTTGACTATGTAGTGAATAAAACTCTTGCTATCTGGGGAAACTCATCAAGTGATTCAGAGGGATCTGAATATCTAGAGGACACATCTATCTATGCTTGTTGTAAAGGATGATGAAGAAATTTTTGACTCCCTGTTAGCATTCATGGCTAAATCTAAAGATGAGGATGTTGATGAAGAGGTAACTCTTCTTAATTTTAAACAAAATCTGAATATATACTCCATTAAAAACTGAGAGGTCTACCTGTTGTGATTGAGTTAACCACTGAAAAGGATTTTGTGAAAAATAGTCTAGATATTTTTAAAGATGAGAAAGTTGCTTTAGTTACTCAGATATCTGAAATGAAGGAATAAATGACAGTTCTAGAAGCTGAAAATCTAGAACTCAAAGAGATGTTAAAGGAGGTGCCTAAGGGTAGTTCGAAATGGAAAAGTGAGGCTAGCAATCTGCAACTTGGACTTGCAAATGGCCTTAAGACTGTTGAGGTGAAATTGGCTATGGCTTCAGAGAGAAATATTCAGTTAGAAAGGGACCCGGTCCGTGTTAAAGAAGAACTTAACAAATCCCTAAAATGGACTACTTCCTCCAAAATGCTAGCAAATCTTACTAGTCAAGGACACAATGATGGAA